CGGAGGGTATTGACATACCATTTATGATAGTTCGGGGTATATTTGTCCCTTTTCCCTAATTTAATTCTTGTAAGTCAATCATTAAGTTGCCTTGGTCTTCCCCGAGCCTATGCTTCGGTTACGAACCTTCTAGGCTTGGTATTCTTGCTATAAATAGTAGACCTTTTTCCGATTGGAGATAAGACTTCATACGTGTACGAGTCGCTTCTGTAGTTGAAAGATATTTTCTTTTCGTTAAGGTACTGTAAATATTGCTATTATAGCTATTAGTTTCGAATTTTCTGGTTTTTTATTTGAGGTTTTGTATTTCCGTTCACCGATCTGTCGAATTATGTTTGAAATTTGGAATTTTTTGATGTAATTTTTGCTTAAAATGATTGATTTTTGGTTCTGATGAACTTTTTTTCTAGCGATCGTGAAGTATATTTGATTAGTATGAAGTTTGACTTGGAAGTGAGAAGTTTGACTAGAAAATGATTGATTTTTGGTTGTTTTTATTGATTGATGAACATCTTTTAGCTGAACTGTAATTGATCAATTGGAAGATGGAATTGAAATTTTAGTATTAAATTTCCGGTTTTTGATTTGAGATTTTATCTTTTGTTTCTCCGATCTGTGGAATTGTGTTTGAAATTTGGATTTTTTTGATGTAATTTTTGCTAAAAATGATTGATATTTGGTTGGGATGAGTTGTGAAGAACAGTTTTTTCTAGCGATCGTGAAGGATATTTTGATGAGTGTGAAGTTTGACTTGGAAGTGAGAAGTTCTACTGGAAAAATGATTGATCCAAATATACTTCCCAAGTCAAGGTCAATCAATCAACTGAAAAATGTTTGACTTGAAAAATTTGATCAGTTGGAAGATGGCTTTAAAGTAGGAAACTGCGACTATAGATTGTAGTTTTGATTAAACTTTTCATTGATTGATTGACCTTGAATTGGTCTGTGGCGATTTATAGTCGTTAATTTTATCTAAATTCCAAAAGGTCATTTTGATGATTATGTGAAATTTGTTTGAATAGATCTGTTAGATTTGAGGAGTTTTCGTGGTTAGAATTCAATAGTTTAGTTAAATCTGAAAGAATGATGGAGAAACAATAGTCGTTTTAGTAAGTTGAAATTGCAGTGGAAGTGAAGTATTCTTTTGATAGATGTTATTCATTAATTAGAGAATATTTGTTTGTAATCGGTACGTTTTTGTTATCATCATAGAATCATTCCTCAAGGGGGGTTTGTTAAAGTAGTTTTGCTGAAATTTCTAGTTTACTATGTTCTAGTTATTAGTTGAATGTTTGAGTTGCAGCGTCCTAGATTATGTGATCATATTTGGCTCTTTGCTGTGTTTATGCATTAATATGTTGGATTCATTCTTTTCTCAAATGTCTTCAGATAGCAATTTTGGAGAAAGAAGAATGGCTTTAGTTTCTGGAGGAAGGTCATCAACACTGAATCCGAATGCACCTCTCTTCATCCCATCTTATGTGCAACAAGTGGAGGACTTTTCACCTGAATGGTGGAATTTGGTAACAACTGCAACATGGTTCCGCGATTATTGGACGAGCCAGCATCAAGGAGAGGAATATGGCGATGATGATCTTGGGTTTGCTGGAAATGATGTTGCTGACTTGCTTCCCGAAAACATTGATCTTGATGTCGATGAGGATATTTTGAATATGGAAGCTCAGTTTGAAGAATTTCTTCAATCATCTGAAAGTGAGCAACAAGGCATCAAGTCATCACTCTCTGGTGTCAATGGTCTGTTTCAATTTGGTATACACCAATCTCCATTATCTACAATTCCATAGTCTATGATTCTCATGTCGTTGGTTCTTACTCGCATTTACCTCTTGACTACAGGCTTACCCAAGGGTTCTGAGGCACTCGTAAGGACACTGAGCATGCCAAAGCCAAAATCTCCTATTGAGCCTCCAAAGTTGTACGAGAAACCAGCAAAGATTGTTAGCCCAAAGAACAGCCTTCGCCGCATCCAGCAGCCCCGCTAAATGTAGTTTAGCTTAAGCAAAAGTTCTTTGTTTGTAGTTTGGGTGTATGTTAGTTCTTAATCTGCAGCTTTTAATCTTTGAAAAGCAGCAATTGAGAAAGTTTCAAGAGTCTTTAGTTCTTGTTATCTTTTGTATAGAGCAAGGTAGAGGTGGCACTTTTGTATCTAGCCTTGTTCATAGTTTTAGTATATCTTTTCATCAGTTTTTTAACTTTGTAAACATCAAAACTTGTCCAAAGTGAAAAAAAATATATGTAAAAATCAGTTGACAAAAAGAGCATGTCTTTTGAGTCTTATTTCTTGAAGAATGTTCTAAATTTCTGCCTTTCCTCATTAGTTTCAGCCTTTTGGGATGCAGGCCATTATAATTTTTGGCAATTCCTTGAGCCGTGGATGATCTATCGGAAACAACCTCTATTAATTTCAAAGGTAGGTGTAAGGTCTTGTGTATACACTCGTGAAATTAGGCTGGTACGTTGTTGTTTATATATATTAGGGTTGTTTTGAATTCAAATCATGATGCAATTACGAGGTCTCAGTCAAGTGTTGTTAATTGATAGGTACGCTCTATCAATCCTTTCTTGGCCTTGTGTCTATGTCACTTTTGGTAATGGTTAAGTACGCTCTCTATCAATAATCTCTTTAGGTCACCATTCAAATTTCAATATTCTATTTGTCTAAGCATTAATAAGTCATCTTTACTCAATATTTATACTGATTAAAAAAAATTAACACTGAATACATACAAAGATAATTAAATTAGGTACAAATTAGCTCCAAAATCAGTGTCATAAGATATTGTAGATTGCTTTTCGAAAATAACATGATATATTTTAGAAAAAAGTCTAAAAGATAAGCTTAATGAAAAGGTCCATTAAGCTAAAAGATCTTCCTCATCATTGGGCACTAGCTAGGAAGAGTCCAAGCTCCACTTTATTTCTTTTGTTTGGTTTTGGTCTAAGTTCATAGTATTAATTAATTAAAGCAATACTATATGAAAGTGATCCCACATTTTGTCTCTAATTTCATTAACAATAACATTCAACACGTAGACCCCAATTAGTAACAAGTGGACAACACTATGATTTCATTTGCTTTCATATAGGTATAAATTATAATTATGTTTTAGTGTTTTTTTCATTAGGACATCTTCATTACTATATTCTTTTTGGCATATTGCTTTGAAATGTTTTAATTAAATTAAAGATTTATCGAAAATATTCTTTATGTTTTCACAAAATAAGAATAAAATGTGTATAAATAGTATGTTGTTAACTAGTTAATGTAGCAAATAAAAGAAGAATAGGTCCATACGATCGACCTAGTGAATGATACTCATTATTTCTATAGGATCGACGTCATTTTTTGGACTTTTGAGGTCACAAATCTGCAATTTGGGATTATTAGTTTTTCATGTGTTAATATTAGTCCATAAATTTTACAGATACAACCGTCCGATTCCGTTTGGCCCCAAGTTTTATGGGTCAATTTGAAATGACTTAGTGAATGATACTCATCGACTTTACAGGCATAACATAAATTTTTTGGAGTTTTGTGGTCACAAAAAAAAAATCAGGATTATCTCAGTTTTTTATGTATATTAGTTCATGAATTTTTTGGAATATAATTGATTGATTCCGCTTTACCCCAAATTTTGTGGTGCGTCAGATTAGGGTATATGTAAATTTAGCTAATCAAGTAAAAGTGTATTTTCAAGTCTATCAATAGTTTGAAAATGAAACAAATAACTTACGACTCGGTGATTCCTGTTATTTTACACTATTTTCATTGTGACCACCCCCAATCCCCAGCCACCAAGAGGCTTTTTCTGTTTAGCAATTTTCTTAACGACTTTCATGGCATCAGCCAGCACCAGTAAGTACTTTAAAAAGTTTTTCTCTTTGTTTTCAGCATTTCTTATGTTCTGCAAAATTTGATACTCATTCACTTCTTTTTTTGTGGACATCTTTGATTGTGCAAACAATTTGGATTAGTGAAATGGGTTTCAATTGCTTCTTAATATATACTAACAATGTAAAGGCATTGTCTTTTTGTGTTTATTTAGTTTGAAATTGAAATATATCTCCGGTTCAAATTCATAAAAGGGGAAAAAAAGTTTGAGAATTTATGTAAAATTACTTCATTTGTCCCAATTTATATGACTTACTACTGGCTAGTCTAGTGCACAAAATATTCCGCGTTCATGTAGTGTCCGGGGAAGTGTTGCATCCAAACATCAATGGTTAATTTCATGGCTTGAACCCAGGGCCAGCTTATGGCGAATATACCGCAAAACTGCAAAACTGCAAAAATTCTAACTTTGTTGTCATATTGCATCCTGCAGTGCTAGTTAAATGTCTAATCAAATGTAAATCGTTGCAAAACCCCCCCAAAAAAAATCATGTTAGACCAAATTATGTGTAAAGATCATGATAGAATAGAAGGTTAGTTAGTAGTCAGGCGTTTTTCGTTCTCTTTCCTAGAGTTTTAGTCCTATTCCTTTTTTTCCCTTATTTTTTTATTTATATCATTGCTTGTTGTTTCAGTATCTTATTATCTTGTTGTTGTTTCTATTTGTTGCTATTGCATCTTTTTCACTGTTTGCTTAGTTGAGGGTCTTTTGGAAACAACTTATCTACCTTCTCAATGGTAGAGGTAAGGTATACGTATACTCTACCCTCCTCAGCCTCTCTACACACTAGGTTTGTTGACCTCTCCTATAGTATCGTCTTTAGTAGAGTTTAACCACCAATTTCAGGATGGATTGGTGTTAGAGTGGATAAAAGTCCTACATTGGTTCGGGAATGGACTGGTGGTCTCCTTATATGGACTTGGGCAATCTTCCCCTTATAAAATAACATTTGGGGTTGAGTTAGGCCCAAGTATCATATCTTTACAACTGGTGTGGTTCTTCCTCTATGTCTAGGACACCAGGACATCGAACCATGAACGAAGAAAGGCATGAGAGAAATGCATATTGGCTAGTGAATTGATTGAAATGGGCTGCTCTTTAAGAGGATCAATGACAAGTCCCATGGATATACCAAAAGGAGATAAGCTCGTGTTGAGGGGTTTAAAGTTCCATGGATATCACGGGGTGAATCCAGAAGAAACGAAGCTGGGACAGAAGTTCTTGGTGGATGTTGTTGCTTGGATTGATCTTCGACCAGCTGGTAAATCAGACTGCTTATCGGATACTCCAAGTTACACTGATATATACAAGTGAGTTGTCGTTGCAATTGTGCTTCATTTTCTTCTTCCTGAAGGTTATGATGGAAGATAAGAAGTTCTTAACGAATAATTTTTGTTGAAATAAATCCGTAAGAACATTCAGTCCTACATTGGCTTTGGGAAATTGTTCAATCAACTGGCCTGATGTTAATTTGCTGAGCAATTTTCTCTGTTGATCGTTATGTTTATCTCGATGTGACATTGACTTGATATCATTTTCATCTGAGAATTGGCAGAATAGTGAAAGAGATTTTAGAACCCTCAACATGTATCCACAGGTATTTGCTGTTCGTGTTCAAGTTGGAAAGCCTCATGTGGCTGTTCAAGGACCTGTTGACTACTTGGGCGTCGAGATCATCAGACACTGCAGAGATCTTGATGTGTAAAGCCAAGACATGTTGCTTGTATTAGTTTTTGTTATTCAAAATCCTATTGTTCAATGACTTATTTGATTGCAAAGCTAGTTTTTTCTCTTCATGTGTAGTGTTTAGAATCTTTTCCATCTGCATTTGTTGAGTGCATGATTAAGAATGAAAAGAAAGAAAACACAACAAAAAAGTTGATTCCTTTATATATTGCAAGTTATAACCCAAGAGTTGTAGTTTCTCATATGCTATGTGATTTCTTTTCAACTGCTTTAAGTATTGGTGAGCAGAGGTACTCGATACCTGTGCTTGTAGCAGTATTGACACTCTCATGGCACATGGACTATGAATAGTTATTACAAATTACGAAGACTTTTCATATCCTTCATTCATTTCTGGTCCCAAGGAAATTATCATAATGGCAAAATATTTGTTTGTATTAGCAAAAATTTGATCTTTGATTCATGAAAAAAGATAACACATCACATGTTTATATATTAGAATGAGAGAGAATGGAATGCTCCCTTTCGATAGGAAGGGTGTTAACCCTTTAGCGGATAACGTGTGCTTGAGGCAATCTGATATACCAAGCATCTCGCATTCACACAAGCTCCAGTGTGATGCTCAGAATCTACCCTAATGCTTGCATTAGGGGCTAATTCAATGACTCAAACCCATGACCTATCACATAGAGACAATTTTATCATTACTCCAAGACTCCCCTTAGCGTGTACTTATCCAACCCGAGTCAAAATTTATCGGGCCAATGAATTTCAGGTACCAGATAGTTAAATCGAGAAAAAAATAGAGGTACTTCAACAACACTATAAAAAGGAGAGAGTATTGCCTTGCAAGAAGAAAACAGAAACCAGGGATTAACTTAAGTTACAGCTCTTACAAAAAAAGAAATGTGATGAGATGCAATGGATTTTCATCAACCACTGATCTTTATGTAATTTGCATTGGTTTCTAAAAACAAAAAAAAGAACTACAATGGGGTCGTGGCTCATTCAGCAACAGCACCTGTGCCACTACTTCTAGCTTTGCTCTTGCGGTTCCATATTGGAGTAGTTTCGATGAGCTTATGAGGGACAAGACGTCTTTCGCGTTTAGTTAGCTTTTTGAAGTTGTGTACTCTCAACTTAGCTATCTCGGCCTCCTCTACCGGTGTTATCTCCCTAAGAACCACTGTCAGTCTACATTCTGGCCTCACCATCATTCCACACTTTCCTTTAGCATGGTAGGACAACCTTTTCTTAAAGAGTCCCTTCCCAAGAAATGCCTCAGCTGCATCAAACATGAACAAGGATGAAGTACTCCAAGGGTAGAAATGAGATGAAAACATGTAAAGTTATTGTATGTCATTTTACCAATAAGAAGACGATCCGGATCAAATCCATAGTTATGCACTGCATTTGCCCGAGCAGAGTGTATAACCTACACGAGAAATGTTCCCGTTATATCACACTTGAACTATGAGTAATCAACTTCTTTATACTTCTCATGTTAGACAATAGTAGTACAACTTGGGGGCTTGCTCTTTGGTGTTTGGGAAAGAACACTTGTCAAGGTTAGTATACAGCTTGGTGTGCTTTCTTGTGGATAGATGTGGCCTCCTGTTTTGACGGAACCGTAGGCAATATATTTGTCATAGAAGCAATTACTTTTAATATCAGATCTGCAGTGGCCTTACCTGATAGACAGTTTTGGCAGCTCGCTTTACCGTCACTTGCAACTGTAACAATGCATCTTCAACACGCATACCACGAACTAATGCAGCAACCAAGTTCACCTTCTTTGGGCTCTGAAAAGGACAACACGTTAAAATATAAAAGAATAGCAGGTCTAGGATTATTAGCAGTTGCTGCTGGTGGGAGTAACATCAATAAAGATTGTTAGTGATCCCAATCCAACAAACAGCAGAATTTTATAACTACCACATGCACTTCCAAGTTTGGAAAATTTATCTGAAAATCAGACAAGATTACAGACTAGGTAAAGGGGAGATGTCATGACTTGTAAAAATACAGACAAGTTATAAATGTAGAAAGCCCCAACAAACTGCTTGAATGATAAACCACTCAAACTCCACAAAGCATAGCTAACTCCAACCTCAATTAAAGGAGGGTTGTAGTAAGTTAATAGTCGCCAAGAAAAAGTTTATCTGTAGTTTAACTATGATCAATTCTTTGAGAATAGATGATTCATATAGGCAACCACAACTATTTCTAGACTCAAATGTAGTTGATTTGATATAAAAGTTGAAATAAGTCCTTTTTAACAGGAGAGAGATTTGCTGATACAAAGGATTACAATAGATTGGGAACAAAATTTGTCAAGAAAAATCAAACGAAGATGATAAAGAGAGAATTCCGAAAAAAATAAATGTTTCAGTCTCTGAGGGGCTGACCTAGCAGTCAAAGGGAACCAAGGGAATCCCAGTAAAGTGCAAACTGTGTACACTGGTAAATTCTTCAGATCTGTCTAAAACCTTGGTGAGTAGAGTTACCCGATAACTACATTGGTGAGAGGTAACAGGCAAGGATGGATTAAATGAGGTGCACGTAAACTGTCCCCAACACCAAAGATATCAAAAAAGAAAAGCAACTCACCCAATCTTAATTGTGGAGAACTATTTCCTGTAAATAAGGCCAACTCCCTTGGCCGACAGAGAGAATCTGGTAGAAAAACTGTGTGGATGGCTGCCCTGTAAGGAGAGAATCTGGAAGAAGACATTTAGGAGTTCGGGAGACTTTCCTAAGCAGGTAATGCTAGGTTAAAGGTAGCAGCAGGTGGATGCTATGTAAGGTGAAGAAGAAAGTTTTAAAAACTCCACCTAGAAAGAAGCAATAAAACATATAATTCTCATAAAACCAGAAGGCTGTGGCATCTCATACCTGTTTTATACCCTTCAAAATAGCTTGAACTTTTGAAGGTTTAGAAATTGCTTTCTCTGCTTCTGTACTTCCCGTACTTGATGGTAACATTGGTGTTAATGGAGAAGAAATTGGTGTTGCATCGTCGGCAAGTAATGTCCTTGAACTAGACAAACCCTATCAAAAGTAAAATAAACATTTAAAAACAATGGAACTGTTTGAACCAATTAAATTCTAGTTTTGCAGGTGAACCATTTTATAGCTAAAGAACATAAGCCCCGACACCACAGTTATCAAAAAATAAAGAAAAAAGAAGCACAAGTGCCTTTTGTAGCTTGCAAGTTGTAAGTCATTATAAGTAACTGAATAGGTATATCTATACTGGAGAAGTAGATGTCAAAATAAGAAAAGCATTTGTAAGAAAACATATTGTGTTAATGTCCTTATAGATATAACTATTAGTGTATGTGCATAAAACTTTCTTGATAGGTAGTAACTATGTGTACATTAAGGTACTCATATTTAGATCGTTTTGTAAATATCTCAATGCAGGAGTTAGCTGCTTGAATGACGCATGCTTTAGTCTAACACCCTAACAACTATGAACATAAGATAAGATCTCCAACTAATGAATTTTTTGTTACCATGAAGCTCTACCACATAAAATGTTTATCCCACTGAAACAAGAAAAACACAATCACAGAATATCAACTCAGCACACCATAAATGGGCACAATAGATCAAGTAAAGGACATTTTAAGTATTACCAGATGTTGTAGATATTGGTACAATGGCCTTGAGATGCAAGGGGAAAGTGTATTTTGCAGCCTTGGTAAATAAGGCACCTCACCTAGAAAATGCATTATGTTCAACCATCAAATAAGTTGATGTATAACTTGAGACATCAGAAATGAAAAGGACTTGAAGGCAACTAAAAGCAGATCTTTGAACCCCATAATCGATTTGCTTTTACTGTTGTTGCATCGTCTATTTACACTGATCATGAGACACTCCTAACATCAGTTTTATCATACTCCACACAGAAAAAACTAAGATTTACCGAGTACTGGAGTTGCCTTTGAGTGAAACAATGAATTGAAAGGAACAGTTAGATTTTGTTGATATCTCTTCCCAGCCTGACGAAGTATGCACTGAAAATGACGTTCCCAGCCCACCATTTCTTCAGCTAAACGAAATCCCCCTCAATACCTCTAGACAATCTCAGTTCGTCTACAAAGCAGAGAAGCATAATAATTATTTTAGTCTGTTAATGCAAGTCAATGTTCCCTGTGAAAACATTAGAAAAGAATGAAAAGTAAAATAAAATTCTCTAAGAGCACAATCGAGAGAAAAATATGATCTTCCATCTGCACAGGTACAAACAAGTACATGTAGAAATCTCCAAGCATTTTTTCCACTATTGAGATTTGCTAGATCACACACTTGGGTGCAGCTAATAGTTTCCCAATAGTTTATACAAGCGATAACAGAGAACATTGTCACTGTAAGCTTAACAAAGCACAATTGGACGTAAAAGTTGTCCACCTATGGTCACTTTATATATACACTAGAAAGCTGACGCCCATGCATTGACAAGCCTAACATATTAAGTATTCAATTGTTGTTTCCTTTTATTTCAGTGTTCTTGTATCAATAGAAACAATGGTCCATGTAAAATGAAAATACATAAATCATTAGATAAGTATAATCAGATAACTTTTACTGCCTAATCAGATAATTTTACTGCATAATAGGACATTTTTCTTTATTGTATAATACTTGCATATGAGAGCCTTAGAATTATGTACAATTCTAAGCTACTCAGGGTGTATCTTCAAGGACAACACAAAAATCATTTTATCCATTTTTGCACAGCTTGCCAGTGAGCCTTGGCCATTGCAAAACAACATAGAAGAAATTTATAGTACCTCTATTTCCAATCTACGTGCTTATTACATAGGCATCAATTATGGATATTTTACATGGATAGAAAAAACCATGGATTTCTCACATTAATCGAACTTATAAGTTGCATGAGTAGAACAAGCTTAGACCATTACCAATATCTGATACACATTATCTTCACAATGTGGTTGGAGACGCATAAATTAGGAAAGGGAAGGAGATGCAGTTGGATCAGCTGAGCTTTTTAGATTCAGCTCTTATAGCTCGCAGTTGCAATTAAAAAGATAGTTTCCTCTCATGTGATCTTGTGCATATCTGGTGCGACATATATGCGCCAGGCATACACGTGTGTATATATTTGTAAAAGGCACAGGCTTAGTAAGAGTCTGGACTTTATAAAGTGTACGGAAGATTGCAACATGACCGATGCTGGCTATTCGGGGGACATTTTCACCTGGACTAATGGTGGAAGGCTCAGTAAGAGAATACTAATAAAACTAGTCAGGGTTATGTATTTTGATAAATGGTCTCGGAGCTTCCAAATGGTTAAGGTCAGATATCTTCCAAGAACAGGTTCTGATCATAGAATGTTGTTAATGACTTGTCACTTGTGGTACTATCGATCCTCCAAAAGTTAAGTATTTCAAATTCCTAAGCTTTTGGATTGATCAAAATTATTTTATTGACACCGTAAAAGAGTCATGGCAAAACGAGATTAAGGGTAATTCTATGTGGATTCGACAACATAAGTTGAAGAGACTGAGCAAATGCTATAGCCTATGGTCTAAAACATCTATTGGCAATGTTTTGAGAAAGTAAAAGAGACAGAAGAACAGGTGGAGAAGGCAGAATTAGTTTATGCCTCTCACAACAGTGATCAAAATAGAGGTTATCTTCATGCCAAATATGCTGAGCAGATTCACTGGTTAAAAAAAGAATCCTCCATTCTAAAACAGAAGTCAATAATTAAATGGCAGGAAGATGGAGATAGTAACACTAAATACTTTCATAGTGTTATTAGACATAAAAGGAAGAGAGTTCATCTCTATAGAATTAAAGATGAGCAGGACAACTGGCTTCAAGGTGATGAAAGGATTGCAGAAGCAGCCACTAGACACTTCAACAGTCTATTTTCACAAACCGATCAGCAACCGGAATTTAAGATCCTGGATAACATAGAAAGTATTATTACTGATGAAGATAATGATCTACTTACTGGCATTCCAAACTCAGAGGAAATCTACCAGGCTATAACATCTCTGAACCCTGATAGTGCCCCTGGTCCTGATGGTTACAATGGCAGGTTCTACCAAGCTACTTGGGATACTATAAAGGATGATGTGAGTAATATGATTGTTGATTTTTTCAGCGGAGCCAAACTCACAAAATTTTACACACAAACTTGCCTTATTTTGCTACCTAAAGTAGAGTCCCCTAGTAATTTCTCACAACATACAGCTGATTTACTTAGTTGTTGGATCAGGAGGAGGTAGCAAGAGACGGAAGACCTGGTGGAATGTAATTCCACATTGCATTTGGTGGACAGAGTGGAAGGAGAGGAATAGTAGGAATTTTGAAGATATATCCAATTCCATTCACAAGGTTAAATGGAATTGCATTGTATCTCTATATTTTTGGTGTAAAGAGATAGGATTAGAGGATTCACATCAACTTTTAGAATTCTTAGGATCCTTGTAAGTATCCCCAGCATATCCTTAATGCTGAAGGATATAATGTTACCAATTCTCAGAAAAAAATATCCTTCCACGACTTGTTTCTCAGAATCAAACTGGTTTTATTAAAGGCAAAATGATCACTGAGAATATTTTACTAACTCAAGAGTTGGTTCGTGATCATGAAGCTTGATATGGCTAAAGCTTATGACATAGTTTCACGGCTTTTCCTAAAGTCTGTTATTAGAAAAATGGGGTTCTCTAAGATATTCATTGATCTAATTCAGAGACTGACATCAGAAGTGTGGCACTCTGTCATGATCAATGGTATAAGGCATGGTTTTTTCCATTCTACCAGGGGTCTCAAACAAGGAGACCCTCTATCTCCTGGTTTGTTTGTCTTGGCTGCTGAAACTTTATCCAGGGTCCTTAATCAACTCTATGATAAACAAAGGATGCATTGGTTACTCTATGCACCAGAAGGGCCCTTTGATCAATCACTTGTGCTATGCTGCTGACATAGTCATGTTCTCTTCCGGCAACATGAGAACTATCAAGATGATCATGAAGACTTTGAGACAGTATGAGAGGGAGTCTGGACAAATGATCAATATTGACAAAAGTGTCTTCCTGACTGCCACTCACTCACCTGATAGTACAAGAAGGATGATTAACAGAATCAATGGTTATAACCATCAACTGTTTCCTATGAAATATCTTGGATGCTCTATTTTCCAGGAAGAAAGAGAGCTTAAACACTTTGCTGATATTGCTAAAACAATCATGAACAAGGTTCAAGGATGGCATGGGAATATTCTTTCTTCAAGAGGAAGGTCCAACATTATAAAACATGTACTTCAGTCACAAACTCTTCATATTTTGGCTGCTATGTCCCCTCCTAAGGACATTATCAAACAAACTATAGGGTACTTTGCTAACTTTTTCTGGGGGCAAACAGATAACAAAAAGAGGTATCACTGGAGTTCTTGGGCTAATATGTGTTATCCCCTTAAAGAGGGTGGGACAGGATTTAAAAGACTTGAAGACATATGTAAAGCTTTTGCTGCAAAGAGATGGTGGAGACTGAGAACTGAGAACAATATATGGTCTCAATTCATGATGCACAAATATTGTCAAAGAGGCCATGTGGTGGCTAGGAAGATTCAAAGATATCATTCCTCTATTTGGAAAGATCTCTTGAGAATTAAAGCTGAGGTAGAGCCTTTCATGTTGAGGAAGATTAATGACGGTCAAATTTCCTTTTGGTGGGACAATTGGAGTGGCATAGGTTCACTAGTCCTTTATCATCATACAGACAGCAGTCCAGGAAACCTCACTGTTGCCGATTGTCTAGATGGAGATCACTGGGATATGGATTATATATCTAGATTACTGCCTAACAACATTTGCCAAATCATCCAAAGCGTGAATATTGGTCCCAGGAACTGGAAAGATCAGGCTATTTGGACAAGTGCTCATCAGGAAATTCTCTTGCGCAAGTGCTTTTCAAAACCTCAGAAGCACTAGACCTGAAAATTTTATCTGGAAGTGCATATGGAGTAAGAATCTTCCTTCCAAAATAGTGTTCATTACCTGAAGAGCCATTAAAAGAAAACTGCCAATGTTTGACAGAATAAAGAAATATGCCACGAATGTTGACCATATGTGCAAATGTTGCACACAACCTGTCGAGGAGAGTATTCTAAATGTCTTCATTCATGGGGAGATGGCTACTAGAGTCTGGAAATACTTTGGGGATTCTATGGGCATTAACATGCAAAATTAGAGTATTCAGGTCATGATTTTATCTTCGTGGCACTGCAACTCTAAGAACTCTATGATGAGAGTGGTTTGCCAAAGCATCCCTATCTTTATTTGTTGGGAAATTTGGAACACATGGAGCTCAATAAAGTACAACCAAAAAAGATATTCAGTGGGCAAGATATGTTATGAAGTATCTCAACATCTAATAAGATTCATGAACAACAAAGGCTACAAGATGGACACAAACTACAATTGGAGTAGCATTTGTAAAGCTATGGAGTCTTATAAGGCCAAGCTGTCCAGTAAACCAATTACATGGAATAAGCCTCCTGAAAATATTATTAAGGTTAAAACAGATGGTAGCAGTACTATACAAGAAAACAAAGCTGGAATAGGAGGCATTGCAAGAGACTACAAAGGGGATATCATCATGGCATTTGTCAAATCTATATCGTTCTGCTCCAATAACAATGCAGAAACCAAGGCTGCCTCATTTGTCTCAACTGGATAGATTTCAATGACACCAGAGATAGTATTTTGGGGGTGGACTCCATGATGGTGGTAAAATGGTTGGAAGGAGCCTATATTGTTCCTTGGGATCTTGAACACGAGGTGGAGCATATGAAGAGAATCATAGAGAAAAGGCATATCAAAGTCCAACACTGTTTCAGGGAAGCAAACACTGTAGATGATGCTTTGGCTAAATTTGGCAATAAATCTCCAGATAACTTGATAGCTAATATGTTCGTCTCATTGCAGGAACTTCCACATGAAGCTAGAGGACCAATTAGAATGGACAAAGCTCAGCTTGCCAACTTCAGAATCAAACATAAATGAAGTAAATGAAGCACAACAATGGTAAAGGAAGAGGGAGCTGCACGCAGCAGAAGTATAAAGATACACAAAACATCAACGATCTTTATCTTTTGTATAGCATAGTAGTTTTTTTTTTTTGGCGTACCTTGGTATTAACTTCATACTGAATGTACTACATATCCAATGTAAAACTAGTACCTTTTATTTACTTATGATGTTCCTTAAGGACTTAGGCTAAGAGATCCACTCCCACTTTTTGCTGAGAACATAGCTAATTAGAGTGTCTTTAATCAGTAGTGTTCTCTCTAAGGAAGTGTTCAATTGAAGTCCGGAAATATCTTTTGATGTGTAACTAGGGAGATATGGCGTAGCCCTCCTCTCAAGTATATTTTGAAGTTTTATTAACAAGGTAGGGGGTCAATGCCAAAAAAAAAAGTGTTCATGTGTGCGTTAGTACACCTTAGCCACTTATATATATATATATATATATATATATATATAAAAAAAAAAAAAACATAGAATCCAAAAACTAAAGTCTGAGTAACATAACAAGTAATAACTGACCTATAGTTAATGTATTGATTGATTGTAAGACTGTAACAATGAAATAAACCCAAATTCTTTCATAGACATTTCATCAAACAGGTTACATACACAACATAAACTGAACAAATACACTTCTGGGTACCATTGAAATCCAACTTTTGAACAATCAAGAATCAATTTTTCCTACATATATCAAGAAATAGACACAAACCAACAAAAACCCAAGTTTATATTTCCATTATTTTACCATTAAAAGTGCATTGTATCAGCTAAACAAACACACTTCTGGGGTACCATTGAAATCCAAGTATTTGAACAATCAAGAACTGATTTTTCCTACATATATCATCAAATATACACAAAACTATATAACCCAATTGGCAATATTCACTAAAAGTTCATTGTGAGAAGAAGAAAATCAAAGAAAAAACTTACATCAGGTTTCGCCGGAGAAAGATGGTTAATCTCAAATCGGATGCATAACTGTATTCTCGATTTTTGGCATATAAATAGCTTCGAAGTATAACTGCTTTCTTCTCTCGATTGTATAACCTAATAATCTCTATTTACACCTCTAAATTTTAATTAAATAAAGTTAATTATTAATACAATTTGGCCAAAGTGCATCACCGCATCGTTGAAGTTACTTTAGGTGTCTTAAAAAAAGATGTGGAACCACATTCTTTATTGAAACCAATTTCTAAAGTCTATGCCCGTTTAACATTAAGGGCATTTGTTGTCCCTTGTGAACTCGAGACGAATATTTTTCCGGTTCTTTTTTTTTAACTACTATTAGCTACCTATTCAACAAAAGGTAATCATAAAATGATTAGTAATATTAAACGTGATATGAAATAATTAGTAAGACCTTATACATATATATATATATATATATATATATAAAAAAAAAAAAAACATAGAATCCAAAAACTAAAGTCTGAGTAACATAACAAGTAATAACTGACCTATAGTTAATGTATTGATTGATTGTAAGACTGTAACAATGAAATAAACCCAAATTCTTTCATAGACATTTCATCAAACAGGTTACATACACAACATAAACTGAACAAATACACTTCTGGGTACCATTGAAATCCAACTTTTGAACAATCAAGAATCAATTTTTCCTACATATATCAAGAAATAGACACAAACCAACAAAAACCCAAGTTTATATTTCCATTATTTTACCATTAAAAGTGCATTGTATCAGCTAAACAAACACACTTCTGGGGTACCATTGAAATCCAAGTATTTGAACAATCAAGAACTGATTTTTCCTACATATATCATCAAATATACACAAAACTATATAACCCAATTGGCAATATTCACTAAAAGTTCATTGTGAGAAGAAGAAAATCAAAGAAAAAACTTACATCAGGTTTCGCCGGAGAAAGATGGAGAAGAGCAAACTGCAATTAATTAAAAATTTGGGCCCTCATTTGTAGTCTATTTTATTTTGTTTATTTATCTAATTTTCATTGGGCCTATAGATCCATAAGGTATAGCCCTTTATCCATTAAGCCCAAAACATTTTTTATCCAAAAAGTATTTATATAATTTATGGAAGAAATTGGAAAATAATAATTTTTGGACTGTTAAATATTAATTAAGTTTGAGCAGTTTTAAAATTATTCGATTATTTATCACTTTTTAATATGAAAATGAAACTTTGACAGAAATGTTTTTAGTTATAACATGAAAAAACTCAAGAATTTTTTGTGAAATTTAAATAGATAAATATCTAAACTCCATAGATCACTCGTGTAGTTTGAAACTCTCGTAAATTTTTAAATTCTTTAACACATCAGAGTGAAGCTCCATTTGTCAAGACTTTAAACTCAAACATCATGCATGTACAGAATAATTTGAGCGGTTCGTAATACTAGATAATTTATATATATGTTCATAACCTATATATGAATGCCAACTTTAAACGGATGGAATGCTACATAGCAAATTTATACACTATAGAACTTATATGATGAATTTTGATTTTGGCGACATTTGCTAGTTACATAAATCTCATTTGTTGGTACCTATTTAAATTGTGTCACTAGTTAACTATCTAAGTAGTTTGTTATTAAATAAATCTCATCCGTAAACGTCTATATAAATTGTGTCACGAACTAACTACTTAAAAGATTTGTCATTAATTAAATTTCATCCACTTGTCATTAATTAAATCTCATCCGATGATACCTACATAAATCGTATTACTAGCTAATAACTACGTCATTAATTAAATCTCATCCGTCAGTATCTATCTAAATCATGTCACTAATACCTAAATCGTTCGTCGTTAATTAAATTTCATCCACTAATACCTATAAATCGTGTCACTAGCTAACTACCTAAATCGTTCATAATTAATTAAATACCATCCATCAATACTTAAAAAATGTCACTGCTAACTATATATACGTCGTTTATCATCCATTGCTATACGATCTTCTTCTTTTTTTTCTTCGTTATTTTTTTTAATGAAAATACATTAGTATCATTCTTGATACCTTCATAAGTTTCAATTTGATTAATTTAATTAATACAAAATTTACTATCAAGTTTACATAAATACCTACCTATATAGGTATGGTATGAATGAATAAAATTATGAAAAAATCATCTCAATATAAATTTTAACATCGTTAAATTTCTATTTTTCTATTTTGCTAATATGAATTTTTACTATGTGATTCGTTTGTCGTTAAATTTCTAATTTTCTGTTTTACTAAAATGTTAGTAAAACATAATTCGTCATTAAATTTTCTATTTCTCGGTAGAAATTAGTGTGCGATCAATTCCCACTTATTCATCGTTAGGTCCTACCAATATCCAGGAAAATCATATAAATATTTTTCTAATAATAGTTACCAATAATTTGAGAAAATTCTTACATTTGACACACACTCTCAAGACTTTTAGGATATAGAAATTTAAAATGCAAAATCCGTCATTAATAGTAGCTCATTATAATTTTTTTAATTATACTTGCATCCTTTAAGATCCAACAACAAAATTTAATGGGAAAAAACTATTAGCTACGAGCATTAACTTAATAACAAAAAACTTCTTCTTTTTTCAACTAAATAATTTTCCAAAAGGCACAAACATTTCCTAATTAATTACTACAATACTAAAACTTTTAAGATGAAAGAAAATGTTGTAAATACCTAAGAGCATCTTCAACAAATAAATATCTCCAACTTACTATACTCAAAATTCCAGCACTAATTTTCTCCACCATTGCTTTTCCATCTTCAAGCTTCAATCCTAACCGTAAATCCGCAACGAGACCGCTAACGGTCTCGATCGAGCAACACCCGGGCGGTGGTAGCTCCTCCGAAAACCATCCTTCTAACCCTAAAACAAACCTACCTTTCCCTTTACAATTCATCACATTGAAAACCCCTTTATACCCTTCCAAAATTACGTCCCACATTATTCTCACGTCTCCCAGGGTATCGAACGATCCCAAATCCCCATTCTTGATATTAGTGACGGAGCCAGGAATCCTAACAAAGAAATTCAAAAAAATAATTATTGGTAAATACATTTTAAGTATCCATAAAATTCGACAATGTGTGTATATATATACTCCCTATGTCCCATTTTTTTTTTTAAAATGATCAAAATTCAAACATAAAAGCTTCTTAATTTTTTGCAATAATTTTTTTATATTTGAATACTACTTTAAGAAATAGTATAAAGCATCGTTATTAATAACTTAATATAAACTTTGAACATAAACACTTCTTTCCGTTTGAAATAAAATTTATATATTTGAAAGACAAATAATAAAAAACAGTATAACCCACCCTAATTAACAACTTAAAATATTTTTTAAAAAAAACAGTATAAACCACCTTGATTAATTAGGGAAAATATTTAAAAACATGATTAAGAAACTTGATTGACTCTCAAAATTCAGAGAGAATAACTTTCTACAAAAAGAATTCAACTGAACACACTTACCTCCTCAGATATTGCTCAACATCGATATCGAATCGAAAAACACCTTTTTTGTCGAAACTAAGTTGATTTCCATGCTTGACTAAACTCACCACACACGTAGAGTTTTTATAAATGTTTAGTGCAAATATGACGTTTTTAAGCGAAATACAAGGTTTTGATGGCGGTTTCCATCGACGGTTACTCGCCGTCTGACCGAGGGCGAATAACCGCCTATAAGAAACACTCAAATCATCGTCATCATTATTATTATTATTATTATTATTATTAAAATTATGAAGTGTTGATAGAGAAGGATAATGAGAACAACAAAGGGGTTGCCATATTTGATCTAAAGACATAGAAATTAACCATGATTTGCAAACACATGAAGAAATTGCTAGGGTTTTTGGATCAAGATGAGTTGCTACAAGAATAACAACTTGCCATGGAGGTGGTTGTTTTTGTGATGATAATGAAACTATGGACATTTTTTTTTTTAATTTTATATGAAATAAGATAAGATACTCTAGAGAGAGATTTTATCCGATTTTAGTTAATTTTCTATATATAAGTTTTAGTTAAGTGTATATATATATATAAGTGATGACACGTGTTGAGTTCTTGAAAATTTTGCATGTTTGGTGGCATGCCACGTATATGTAATTTGGCTACTCACACATTAGTCCTAGTTTATTGACACGCTGCAAGGATAAAGATTATGTCTGTGTCCGGTGTGCATTATTCAGATTAAATTAAAAAATTAAATTAAATTTTAATTTGAATTGATTTTTTATGTTTTTGATTTAATTTTGGATTAATAATTACTTTGTTTGATTTTTTTAGTTTGATTTCGGATTTAGAATAGAAAAGAAAAAATAAAAAAACTAATTTTATATATAAGTTTAGAATTAAGTTGGAGTTAACCTTTTTAGTTATTGCCTTTCATTATGATTATGTTCATATTTTATGTTTGGACATCTATAATTGATATGCCTATAAGTATTGTATTTTAAATTTTACTTCTAATTTATATTAGAAAGTATATTTAAGGGATTCAATACTCACTTCTCCTAGTATATATATATATATTTTCAAATTATAAATATAACTATGATTATGTTATTAATTAATGACATAACCGAATAAACCAAATCGAAAAAATCTAAACCGAATAAAAAAAAATCAAACCAAATCAAATCTATTTTGATTCGAATTGAGTTACACCTTTTCAAAAATTAAAAATTAAAAAATTCAAATTCAAATGCACACTCTTAAATTCTGATATCAATAATGAAGTTCGATAAATTTATTTTATACTGAAAAAATTGGAATAAAGCGTTGTGATGTTCAGAATATTTATAGTTCATTAGCAAAGTTCACATATTAATTCGTCTCAATCTCGACATATTGAGTAGTAATTCTATCGTCTTCGATAAATATTTATGATCTTTAAAATATTTACATGAAAATTTGTCTTTTCTTTCGATATATTTATCAATTGTTAATCGTGATCAGTTTATTATCTTTAATAAATATTTATAATCTTTAAAATATTTACATAATGATTTTGTCTTTCCGATCGACATATCAAATCATAATATGTTTTTGTCTTCAATAAATATTTACGATCTTTAAAACATTTACATAAAAATTTATCTTCCCTTTCTACATATATATTAAAGACTAGCTTATTGTCTTCAATAAATAATTACAATCTTTTAAGACATTTGCATAATGGTTTATCTTTCCTCCCAACTGTCCCGACATATCAAATCGTGACCAACTTATTTCTTGAATAAATATTTACAATCTTTAAAATATTTACATAAAGATTTGTCTTTTCTTCCGACATATCAAATCGTGATCAACTTATTGTCTTCAATACATTTTTATCATCTTTAAAGCATTTACATAATGAATTGTCTTTCCTCCAAACATATCAATCGTGACGAGGTTATTGTCTTCAATAAATATTTACAATACTTAAAACATTTACGTAATGATTAATTTGTCGTTGCCCCCGACATATCAAATTAATAGTAACTTTGTTGTCTTCAATAGATATTTACACGAAGATTTGTCTTTTCTTCCGGCACACATATCAAAATAGATCATGACCAGTTTATTGTCAATATATATATACAATCTTTAAAATATTTACGTAGTGATTTGTTTTTGCTCTCGACATATCAAATAATGTTCAGATTATTGTCTTCAATAAATATTTACGATCTTTAAAACATTTTACATAAAGCTATTTTTCTTCCCTTCCTACATATATATATCAAAGACTAGCTTATTGTCTTAAATAAATATTTATAATTTTTTAGGACATTTATAGCTACTAGAAAATTATAAATTACCTGCGAAATTTATTTGGGGATTATTTTCGTAGCAGTTTTCTACGATTTTTCATGCGGAAATATGAAATTCCTAAATTCTAGACGTTTTTACATACGAAAGATTTTTTTTTCCAGAAAAATTGGTAGGTAAATTTGGCGTCATTTTCACAAAACTATTTCCTGGAAAGTTATTTGGGGGGAATAATTTGCAAGTACCATTTTCATAGTTAAATTCACAAGTAATGAAAAAAATATTTTTTTTTATCTATTTGAAAGAAAATTCCTAGATAAACTTATTTGCGAATTTAGCTAAAAAAAATTATCTAATTTTTTTTTATATGTGGTATTACCTGGGAATTTTCATTTCACAATTTTTTGGGGGATTTATTTTTTAGAAATTTACTTGGAAATTTTCTTACTTGAAAAATTACTTGGGGATTTCATTATTGTGAATTTGATTGGAGATTTTTCGAGGGATTTACTTGAAAATAGGCATACTTAAAAAAATTTAAATATAATTTAAATGGAAATTTTCTCTTGGAATCTAAGGATTTTTAAATTTGGAATCTTCGAGGAATATTTCCTTAAAAATATATTTACAAAAATTAGAAAATTATAATAATATAAAAAATGTCATTGATATTAGAATAATTTTATTGTTAAATATTTATTCTACTTTTTAGGTTAAATAAATTAGTATACAATATTATCAATCTAATACGATGTTGGAACATTACCATAAATGTCAGAATCAATATGATTAACTTATATAAAATTAATATTTAATCTCAAAATCAAAGATGCCAAATTTTTTTTTGATTTTTTGATTTGAAAGATACAAAACATTAAAATAATATGACTAGTTTTTATCCAATGGAAAAATAATTATCATAAATGTAATCAATTTTGATTTAAGATTATTTTATATTAAATTGTGTATTACTATGTAAATCAAGCACTATTTTTAAGTAGAGAAAAATTCAATTATATATATTATTACGTGAAGTTTAATTACCCCTTGTTGATAAAATTATATGAAATGAAAAATCAATATTTTTTTATTATACATTCCATTGATATATCTTTTGTTTACCAGCATTAAAAATGATCTAATTTCTCTATAGTAAGTTATTAAGCGATATTTATTTGCAAATATATAATCAAATTAAAATTATAAATACCATCACTATCTAATAAGATATGCTATTGATTATTGATTATAACTTCCCTGCACTTTAAACTTATAATTATATTTATAATTTTAGTTATTTATTTTAACAACTTTTGTATGTGTAATTTAAATTTTGTCTACATTTAATATGCTTAGTTATGATCTTATCTCATAGAAAGTGAGTGTTAAAGAAATTTAAATAATAATTAATATGTTTACAAAGAATTTTTTAAAAAAATTATTAGAATATATTCACGAGGCTAGTAAAAATTTTTGTAGTAGGAAAATTCCCTTATTTTTAGTATATTTTATAAGAAAATTTGAAAGTTGGTATATTTTGTATGAAAATTCGCAAGTAAAAAATAATTACCTACTAAGATTTTACCTATGTAATCCACACTTTTCTAGTAATTAGATAATGATTTGTCTTTCCTTCCGTCTGTCCTCACATATCAAATCGTAACCACTTATTGTCTTCAATAAATATTTACAATTTTTAAAAACATTTACATAAAGATTGGTTGTTCCTTCTAACATATCAAATCATGATAAGCTTATTGTCTTCAATAAATATTTACAATCTTTAAAATATTTACTTAAAGATTTGTCTTTCTTTCCGACATATCAAATTGTGACCAACTTATTATCTTCAATAAATATTTACAAAATTTAAAGCATTTGCATAAAAATTATCTTTTCAATAGGCATATCAATCGTGACGAACTTATTGTCTTCAATAAATATTTACAATCCTTAAAACATTTACGTAATGATTTGTCTTTTCTCCCGACATATCGAATCGTGACGAGCTTATTGTCTTCAAATAAATATTTACAATCCTTAAAACATTTACGCAGTGATTTGTCTTTTCTCCTGACATATCGAATCGTGACGAACAATTGTCTTCAATAAACATTTACAATCCTTAAAACATTTACGTAATAATTTATCTTTTCTCCTGACATATTAAATCGTGACCTCGTTATCTTCAACAACATTTAAAATGGGACGGAGCGGATAGTGTTGTAAACATGGTCAAGTTAATGTGTACGTAAGTGATGGAACATGAACTAAGAAGGAAAGAAAAAAACTGACACAAATTATCCCAAGTTCCAGAAATTCTTGATCAAATAAATGTTATTCCTTCGTTTTAATTTGTTTGTATGATTTTATGAAATTATGGAAAGTAAACTATAGATATTTAGAATGTATCAAATGTCCTTTAATTCGGTGATTTTCACATGCTGAAAAGTTGAGTAAAGGAAAGTAAGACAAATAAATTAATATCGAGATATTTCCTTATTAATTGGAATGAAAATATACATACTTTACACAATCTCAAAGCTACAGTACAGAACCTTGCTAATTTAATTGTCAATAATTCCTAATAAGTATGTAATAAGCCTCATTTGGCTTTTACAGAAATTTCTTCCTTTTTATGCCTGAACAAATAGTGTAAAAATTACATATAAATCATAGTTGCATAGTTCTTCGAAACAAGGATAGTCGTTAGTTCATGAATGGAATGCGAGGAAGAAAGATAAGCATTTGGCAGGGAGCCAGAAACCATCTGTTATCGAGTGGAAAGAAGCTAATAAACCTAACAAATTAACGATCAATGAACATTGTTAACGAGTAATTTTACCCTAAGCTAGATCGAGTGATCATCTCATACGCCAAGAGACAAGCAACATTTGCAGGAACACTACGCGCCATAGCCGATCCAAAGCCCTTGTGAAGGCCTTTTACACCCTCTGATGCAACAATCTTTTTGAAAGCATCAGCAAAGCCAGAGAACTTTGGGTTCTTGTAATCGTCAACTTGGATAACGCTCTTGATTACATCCGTTGGATACACAGAAAGCCAGAATTTACCACCAGCCAACCCTCCAGCTACAATAAGAGAAGCTTTTCCCAACTTAGAAGTGTTTGTGCCAAGTACTGTTTTGTCGCTTCGTACACATCAAACATAGCAGCATTTTTCGGTACTTCACGTGCCAAAGTTGGGAACAAGCCCTTGAATAGACCCCTTACACCTCCTTCGAATTTAAGAACGTGTCTTGCAACGTCCATTGGCACAACAGTTGAGCCAACACTTGCCAATGCACTCTGTGAAATGACAAATGTACTTTTCATTAGAGTTTGAGTAGAATTATATTTAACTATGATATGGTAGCCTAAAGTCAGGGCCGTCTTAACCCCTAGGCCACTAAAGCCATCGCTTGGGGCCCCATATTTTTTGGGGCCCCCATTTTTAAAAAACAATTACTTATATATATTATTTTTAAAAATAAATAAATTATATGTACTATAAGTGCTATGATTTCTACTAAAGAAATTGCATATGACATGAATACAAATATAATTTTCGTAAGAAACAATTTGATGAAAATATGGATAACGAAATCACTAAGTCCCTCGAAGAATCTTTAGAGTTGATTACATTATATATGTAGAGTAGATCAAACTATTTTTTCACTTTAAAATAGATTTGAACCAATTGAAGCATATAAAAATATTTTTGATTTCTTATTTAGTGGTAAAATATTGAGATTACTAGATGATGAAATTTTTTTAAAAATATTGTCTTAACCTTGAACTTTCTTTAACACATACTAGTTATTCTGAATTGATGGTTTAGATTTATTTTTTGAAGTAAAAGTGTTAAAGATAAACAATACAAGTAGAAGATAATGATGTAATGAAAATACTCAATCAAATAAAAGATTTGATTCTTTTCCAAATACACATATTGTGTTAACAGTTCATAACCATTGCCTCAACCAAATTTTTCTCCGTTCGAAATTAAAATTGATTAAATTTTCTTTAAGATCAACAATGTCTCAAGATAGATTGAATGAATTAGCTATATTATCATTTGAAAAGGAATTATTAAAATAAATTGATTATAAAACAATACTTAATAACTTTGCATCTGAAATAGCTAGAAAAGTATATTTTAAATAAAAGTACATATGATGAAAAAAAAATTTAGGGCCCCTCTCTTAAATTTCGCTTTAGGCCCCCAATGTTGTTGAGTCGGCCCTGCCTAAAGTATATGAGCAATATCGATTTGTCGTAGGTCTGAATCCTACATGGAGAGATGTGATTGATTCTAAATGAAGGAGCTCGCTCTGCCTGTTAAAGAGTAGGTAACCCGTTCCATGTCTTTGTTTCTACTATATTCTATCTCATCGTATCACATTTTGTGTCGCATGCGATCCCCAATTCTTGTTCACCCTGAATGATCGTGTTGGGTAAAAGTGTGACCTCGTACGATCATGTCGGGTGAGAAACAACTGCTCTGTAACAATACTTACTTATGGGCATTGATTTGAATTTTTTCCCAAATCAGACTTCAAATCAATGCCAAATACAAGAAATAAAAAATAGCTTACGGTTAATACGAAAAAATGCAAGATTCTTTGAAAAAGAGTGGGTTGACTCGAAAACCTGGGACCTTGGCTTAGTAATGAATGATGGGAGGTTCGTCAGTTACTAAATTTAACTATGATATCGTAACCTATAATATAGGAGCAATACCTATTTAACGGATTAAATCACATTAATAGAGTGAAATGGATGTGGAGAAAGTGTCAAACCTGCATTTTATCAACAAATTCTAGAAAATACTACGTAGCAAGATAACAATTCTCTAAACTTATGTCGAGTGAATTACATCCGGATATATAAAGGTACTTTGGTCCATAACTTTTCATTTAATGAGCACCAAGGACAAAATTTAAAAATCGTCATATTTGAGGGAAAAAATTAAAGACCACCCCAAAATAAAGACAATCCGTACAATAACTTAGGATCATTTGCACTTTAGCCTCTATTTTGTATTTGTTTTAAAATTTTACCCTTTAGGCTAAACAACTTTTTGTACGGGACATAAATTTATATATTCATATCATAATATCCATCAGTTACTTTCCATGCTTTTAAAAACTCATGACTCACTTATAGGGCTGGGCATAATATGGTTAAAATCAAAAAACCCGATCTAATCGAATTTTTTTAATTTCGATTTCGATTTCAAATTTCAATATTTCAATTTTTTGATTCGGTTTTTAAGCTAAAGAAAACCGATTAACCGATATAACTGAAATATATATTTCAATATATATATTCTTTAGTCTTTACACCCTATTAACTAATCACTATTCAATCCATATATATGAACTATATCTTTGTTGGGTGTAAGATAAACAAGCATCATAGTATATGATTTCATAGATAGAATATATTCTTTAATTTTTATTTTTATTCTTCAGGTAAAAAAAGAAACGTTTCTCAATTTACTATGGACAATTAGATAACTATCTTTGATTTATGTACACAATCAATCGAGAAGTCAAATATGAGAGCCAACAACAAGAACTTCATGTATTATGTTATAACTTATAAAATAAAAATCAATATACAAAAAATAGTTCTAAAAAATAATATTTAATTGTTCTCTTCACATGTTCATATGACATCTAAACAGTTTAACGTGGAATACATATGCAAAGCACATCTGGTTAGATGATACGAAAAATACACAACAAATATCATCTATAAGGTAATATTACTGAGATACGACTAATTACATGATTGCACCTCATCAAATTGAAATAAATATATACATTATTGCATTGAACTACTAATATTTTTCATTAACCATCTTTGTAGGTTCGCGTGAATAAGTGATATATATAACGATCAACATTGAACATTCACAAAATAATCTATAATTTTATTTTGTGCAAAACTCATTATTCAAATCTTCGCTTAAATAAGCAATACAATATACTATAACATATATTTTCTGAATTGATGGAAAAATTAGTATTTGTTATAAATAAATAAATATGTATATGTATGGCCATGGCCCATTACTATAGAATGATCACTTCTCCAATGAAGTGTTTTCCTATAAAAAGGGGGAATACCCCTACAATGTAGAGACACCAAAAATAGGAAAAAAAATATTACTTTCTCTCATCTTATTACTCTTATTGTTCTGTCACTTTCTCCCTTTCTTCTATCTTCCCTTTTCCCTCTTTATATTTAGTTTATTATTAATATTTCGTAACACGTTATCAACATAAAACTTTAATTTTCTTCAAATATTTTAGGTATAATAAACACATGTCTTATATATATATATATATATATATATATATTTACATGTTAGTTCTTCCTTAATTATTTATTTATTTTGGTTAAATTAACTTGATGATCTTTATTTGTTATATCTAACTCTATTATTATTTACTGGGTTATATTAATTTTAGTATGAATACAACTTTCTCTCAACTACTCTTATAAAATAATAATGTCACCATAATTTATTTCTTGAACTTCCTAAGATACTACATAAAGTTTTATTTATGTATGTTATTATTATAGCTAAAAAAAATTATGTACCTAGCAATAGAAAAATTATTTATGTATTTTTATATTGCTGATTTTATTTATGCGTTTCTATATTGCTGACTTATGTACCTTAAATTCATATGCTTCTTTCCGTATTCTTTTTATCAACAATTCCTTTTATTTTTACATGACAATATTCAAGAATTTATGTTAAATAGTATATGTAAAATTAGTTAAACAGTGCCACCAACGAATTACTAAAATCATTAGTGTTTACAAATTTTGTCTCATAAGTATGTACTAGTAATTGATTAACAATATTTTATGCAACTTTCAAAGAGGTCTTTTAATGATATTTTACACACATCTATGTGCTGAAAATAATTGTGACCAACTTGTTTTTATATGAGCATACCTTATATAAGAATTTATTCATATGTATTTGCTTCAGAAATTTGGTCTTAGTCAAACTTATTATTTTTAACTCATCTCTCTTTTTAGTTTTTATCATGTCAAATCTATCATAGCTTGAGTTTGTGGCCCTTGACATTACCAGAAAGAATTATTTGTCATGGGTCCTTGATGCTGAAATTCACCTTAAAGCTAAAGGTCTTGGTGATACTATTGAACATGAAAATAAAGCATCAAGTCAGGATAAAGCGAAGGCCATGATTTTTCTCCGAAATCATCTCCATGAGGGATTAAAAATTGAATATTTAACTGTGAAAGACCCTCTTGAATTATGGATTAATCTGAAGGACCGATATGACTGCACCTAAAACTTACGGTGTTATCAAAAGCTCGATATGAGTGGATACACCTTCGATTTCAAGATTTTAAAACTGTAACTGAGTATAATTCTGCTATTCATAAAGTAAGTTCCATATTAAAATTATGTGGAGATACTATCACTGATGATGACTTATTTGAGAAAATATTTTCCACTTTTCACGCTTCAAATGTGTTGTTACAACAACAATATCGTGAAAAGGGGTTTAAGAAATATTCTGAATTAATTACATGCCTACTTGTGGCTGAGCAGAATAATACTTTATTGATGAAAATCATGAAACCTGTCCTACTGGTTCTGTTCCATTCCCTGAAGTGAATGTTGTAGCAGCACATAATCAGTTTGAACCAAGACAAAATAATTATCGTGATCGTGGTCGTGGCCATGATCACGATCGTGGACGTGGACGAGGACGTGGTAGAGGACGAAATAATTATCATCATTATGGTGGAAATAAACATGAGAATAACAAAGTTTCTCAAAATAATCCTTCTCGAGGTAGAATCAATATTTGTCACAAATGTGGCATGAAATGTCATTGGGCACGTGAATGTCGTACGCCTGATCATTTTGTGAAACTCTATCAAGCCTCTCTCAAAAGAAAAGATAATAATGTGGAGGCGCACTTGACCTTTCGGAATGATGATAATGAAGCAGCTCCCTCAAATAAATATGATGTTATTGAGGTAAATCTTGCTTATAAAGATGATGATTTTGAAGGCCTCCCAAATATTACTCATTTGGAAGCTGAAGACTTTTATGAGAATATTGATTGAAGAACTGATCATCTAACTGGGGATAAAATTATGAAAAGGAATAATTGTTATTTTCTATTATGTTTACTACTATGTTCTTCTTAAATGCTTTTTCTCAAGGCATTAAGTCTTACTAATTCCTACATTTTTAGTATAATTTCTTAAAGTTTCTTATGCTGTTAGTTTTTCACGTTCTTATAATATCTTTTATTTTTATGAAGAATATG